CAGTAGGGGCTCAGTATGTTTGCAGAAACAAATGATGGACAGGGAATGAATTCAAAATGAGTTTATTTTCATACGTGACCACTAACCACCATCTAGTGGCAGGAGAGGGCAATTTCAGCACCAGCTTTCTGGAAGGAAATCTACAGCAGGCACAGGTGTTAAGCACCAAGGGTCAGGGCGCCCTGCGTCTCCCTGGTGTCAGGGTTTGGAGAAGCCTGCAATGCGCAGGATCTTTCTGGATATAAACGTGGCCACACAGAACACGGAGGCCATGAGCGACAGGCGTTGTGGGGCTGGTCAGCTGAGCAGCCTGGTGGCTTCCGTCACAGAAAGGAGCCGGGTGGACAGCCGAGCCCCCCAGGGGGCTGCTGAGCTCCCCGTGCCCAGGGCTGAGTGCAGGACTGCGCATCACACAGCAGAGCAGTGGCTGGTTTCCTCAGCAGATCTGGCGGCAATCTGGAGAAAGTTCTAGTAAATTGAGAGGAGTGAGGAAGGGAACGCTGAGGGGAATGGCAGAATAAAACACCACCAACGTGAAACACAGAAAGACAGTTACAGCCAAATTATACTACATTATATATTATAATAATATATATAATTTGTATATATAATAATAATAAACAACACACGATAAGCTAACCCAAAGGCCGCTGCTAAGTGCCATCTCAGACCCTGAACCCCTGCTCTCACTGTATTTGATGTCGGTACAATTTGTGGAGGGGAAGGGAAAAAACAAATTGTTTAAATAGGAATACAGGTGGACCCATTGCAACAATGAGATATACAAGTCGTTATGTCGAAAAACAAACTTTACAACTTTGGCTGGGGTGAGGGGGGGAGTTGATGGGGGTGGGGAGATGGGAAGGGGAAACAAAGGAGGAGGCAACAATGCTTGATAAGAAATGTACTCATTACCTTGCCCATGTAATTGTAACCCCTCTGTACAGTATTTTCACAATAGAAGAAAAGAGAAGAAGAGGAGGAGGAGGAGGAGGAGGAGGAGGAGGAGGAGGAGGAGGAGGAGGAGGAGGAGGAGGAGGAGGAGGAGGAGAAGAAGAAGAAGAAGAAGAAGAAGAAGAAGAAGAAGCTGAACGCCACTATGTCACCTGCAGGGAACCTACCAACCACCAAGTGCTGTAACTCTGACTTGAGGCAAATCCCAAGCACAGAGCTAACCAATCTGCATGGCTATGAGACGTATGGCTTTAGAACATGTCCTGGAATACACATATTCCCAGGGGCCCACCTCCCAGAGCAGATACTCACCAGCTAGTTGGTCGCCAACCGTGGCAATTCTAAGGGGCAAGGGCCCCGTCCCGCTGCTTTTGGGGCAGGTTGCTGGGGTCACAGCGGGACATCTCAGAAGGACATACAGACGTCAGGTGAAGGATGGAGACAAACGTTGACCATGTGCTGTAACTGCTGAGTGATGTGTGTGTGTGTGTGTGTTTGTGTGTGTGTGTGAGAGAGAGACCTTACATGAAGCCAGACACACACCTTTCTGGTCCTCCCATAGAGAGGGACACAGAACGGCAGTCTGGTGTTCTGACATGACCCACCTCCTCTGTGGGCTGGCCACCCCTCCCCCCTTCCACTCACAGGGTGCTGTGCCAGCCCACTGGCCACCCCATTGCCCCGGGGCAGGCCATGGGTGCGTGGTGATGGTCCTGCCCTGGGCACACAGCAGCGGGGTGCGGACAGACAGCATCCCGGACCCTGGTGCTCTGTGTGCTGCTCCTGACTTCAGCTCTTCCGCGTCAAGAGGAGTTAGCAATGCCCCCCTGGGATAACGCAGACCCAGGATGCTAACCAGAGCCCAGCACTCCCAGCGCTGAAGCGGCCTCTGAAAACAACTTGCACCTGTTGTTCACTCATTCTCTGGGTCAAGACCTGGAGCTGTCAGCTGACCTGGATGGAGACCATCACTGAGCAAACCACACCTCTGATGGACTCAGGTCCTGATGAGTCCGTCTGGCCTGTGCCAAGTGTGCCAGCCCCCCACCACTCTAGTGTCTGCCTCTGGCTTTCCTCTTCTTCCAGACACATGCACATGCATGCATGCACACATGCACAGGCACGCGCACACATACACATGCACACACAAGTGAGCACGCACGCCACTTGATGCCTCCCAGTAAACGCACTGTTTCTCCTGGTGCTGACCGGTGGACGAGATGTGTCTTTGTGAAAACCTCACTCTGAGTGGACGCCACGCAGGAATCACTGGCCGCTGCCAGTCCTGTCTGATGTAACGATGCAAATACATCTTGAATGTACCGGGTCCCAGAAACCCATGCCTCACAAGCCGAGACGGTCCAGCTGAGGTTGAACATCAATGGCAGGTTTTTATTTTTTGCTGTTACTAGGATTTGAATTCGGGGCCTTGTGCTTTCTAGCTGACGTGATACAGCAGGGCCATGCCTCTAGCCCTCCTGCCCACGGCCATTTTGGTCTAGTCTCCCCTCCAGACGCTCTGCCTGTGCTCCCTTACCCACCTAATTTTAGGCTGTCACCAGTGGGATCACAGGTACATGCCACCATTCCCACTTCCCTCTTGGGACACAGTCTCCTTTACCCAGTCTGGCTTGGATTTGTCATTGTCCTAATCCCAGCCTCCCCTGTAGCCTAGGATGAGAGGTGTGTGCCACACCACCCAGCTATGCATGCAAGACTGCCCGGGGCTGGTCTTGAACCGTGATCCTGTTCTCAATAAGACTACAGACATGAGACATCAGAGCTGTACTGTAAGTTTTGTTTTTATTCCACCTAATCATTCCATCCATTTGAGCAAACCCTTCCTGAGTTTCAGGTGGGTTGCCCTGGTTCTGTGGATACGTGGACATGTGGACCTCAGGCCTCTCCCCAAGGAGACTCCGCCTCCTCACACCCACCTGTGGCCCTAATACTTCCCACCCCCCCAGCAGATTGTACTTCCCTTCCTGCATCTTACCAGGCCAGCCCGGCACAGCACTGCTACACAGCAGGCAATGTGCAGGGCAAATGGAAAACACAACTCCCTGCACACGTGCCACAGCTTTAGAGCCTGAAATCTTTTGAGTGCATGAGGCGCATGTGTCTCAGGCTCTACGCAAGGGCTTTCATAATGGTAGGGTGTGTGTCCTGCTGGGGTGGAGGCTGGCACGTGGCTACATTGCTGGGATGCCCAGGGGACACGTGCAACCCTGCCCTGCACCCATCTGCTGTGGAGGCCCGGGTGTGCCCCGGACGCTCACCTGATGTCTGTATGTCCTTCTTAAATGTCCTGCTGTGACCCTAGCAACCCGCCCCGAAGGCAGCGGGACGGGGCCCTTGCCCCTTACAAGTTGCCACCGTTGGTGGCCAACTAGCTGGTGAGCGTCTGCTCTGGCATGCTGTGCCCGCCGGCCTGAGGGCGCAGGCGGCAGCGGCCCCCCCCCATCTTCCTCGCCTGCGGGACCACAGCGGGTTCACCGGGGCCTCTGCCCACATGCCTCTGGCTTGAGAACTGAAGGAAGCTCAACCCACGCCGTGGTGACAGGGACGGGATGCGGGGAGGTGACCAGTCATGAGTGCAGGCCCTCAGGGTGAGCGTGCCCTCAGCCAGGCCACGGGCCTGGTCCCCCGCCCTGCCAGGGTGCTGAGGCTCCCCGAGTCTGCACCCAGGACTTCTCAGTGTCCACAACAGTCTGTGTTTGCTGCTCGGCACGGTGCAGTGGAGGCACGTCGCTCTATCAGCCCAGAGCCAAGCCTGCTCACGAGTCTCTGTCCCTCTGTGTCTCCTGCCATTGCGGGTTCCGCTGCCTGGGCGGCGCCCTGCCTCGAAGCCACTGATGACCCCCCCTGGGCGAGGGTGGGGGCAGACATTCCCACGTGCCACAGGCATACCCAGGGCACATTGCTGGTCACTTAGCTAGACTTTTGACTACTGTCACCTTTCTACAATGTAACATGAAGCACACAGAGAGGAAAGCATGTGCCACTGGTTTTATTGCTGTTTCCAAAGGGGAAAATGTGGACCATCACAGCTGTTTCCAATTCAATGTGTTGTGCAGTTGTACAGGGATGAACATGTGTGCACACACGTGTATATGTACACCTGTGTGCATGCTGATGGGTGTGTGTGAGGAGTGTGCATGCCTGTGTGCAAGGTCCTGCATCCAAACTGCAGACACCAGTCTTCCACCGAATTCCCACTGGCCCCCGGGGCTGCTGGCCACTCACACAGCGGCCCGGCCCGGCCCGGCCCGGCGTCGCATGTGCAGCAGAGCTGCCGTCTAGCAGGAAGGCCCCTCAGGGAGCAGTCTCTGTGCGGTGAACACCCGGGCTGCATGGTGTCTACCCGCAATGTGAACACACGAGCACCCGTGCCCAGCACCTGTCACCTGTCGGGACTCGGTGAGGTGACCATGCGGGAGGTGGGCATGGCTGGTTGTCACACCCACGAGCTGTCAGTCACCTTGCAAGGATTTGTCCTTGTGTCCAGCCCTTCTCCTAAGATCCAGCTATTAATAATTTGGGAGGGAGGCCCTGTCCAGCAGTCAGCACAGTCGAGAGGCCTCTCGGAAAACCCCCCTCCTCACCACGGCACTTCGCCCGGAGCACCCTGGGAAGCCCAGGCCCAGGCTTGGCCATCCAGCCGCCGTCAGCCTGCTCCCCGGAGCAGGCTGAGTACCCTTCAGAGTCAGACACACCCTTCCACTTCACCCTACAGAGCGAGGGCCGGCCCACACCTCAGCGGGGCCTGCCCAGGTGTCTCTTCGGTGTGTCCTCCAGTGTGCTAGCACACTGTGTCCTGGGAGGGGGAAATGTACATCCTGGAGTCGACATGGATGTGACCATGTGACGTGTTTTTCAATAAACAATCTGGTGAACGCACACGGAAAGACTGTGCTTACACACGGAGTATTAACGTTTTCATTTGTGTCCAGCCAACAAAGCAAACAGCTGGATTTAGACAGGGTGTCACGTGGCCCAAGCCCCCTTCTGGGATGGGGGAAAAATGTCTTACAACTCTCAACAACTCCAAGATTTGTTTTTATTTATTTCAAATTCCAATAGAATGATTATGCTTTATCTAAATACTTTTTTTTATCACAACTGAAACATTGAATTATTTTTTTTCAGAAATAGTTAAATACATCAATCTAGTTACAAATTCTAATATAAAGAGTACAAAATATAATGTTATAAATCGTATTTTTTTTAAAAAGAAATACAAATTCTATGGTTGTTTGCATTTTACTGCCTCAGAGTACCACTTGGCGAAGCTAACGAAGACGTTTCCCTAGGTGGCCACGGTCCAGCGTGCCCCAGGCGGGCAGGGAGCCCCACGCGGGCCGCACCCCGCCTGCAGCACCCCTGCGGGGCCCCGGGCCCATCATTTCTGGGGTTTCACGGTTTTGTGGCTGCTCAGTAAATAAAACACTCTGGAATCAGAAGTTACCGACCTCACAGCCCTGAACGGACGCGGAGCGCCTCCCCTCAGACACAGTGCACATGGGCAGGGTTGGAGCCTCGTGTTCTCGGGGAGGGGAGCTGCTCACGTCTCTGCCGAGGGTCCGGGGGTGCCCGCAGTGCTGCCTGCCGCACTCCCCACACAGCACCTGCTCGCCCTGGAGCTACGTGGCTCTCCCGAGGACGCTGGGAAGGAGCCCCATCCATGTCCCAGGCGTGTGAGGCTGTCACCCCGCGGGCCTGTGGCTTAGCAGTCGGTCCCGCTCCCAGACAGGTGCACCTCGGGATGGATCTCCACGGCTGCGACAGACGGAGCCAATATTCCTTCACCGTGCGACATGCCCACGGTGGCCTCCCACTGCAATTCCCTGGAGCACCTTGTTTTCAGAGACCAGTGTCCTTCTTGACTTACAAAATAAATAATATTGGGGAAACCTCTTAAAGCCTTCAATCCTTCTCAGAACAACAGAAAGAAAAAAGAAGAGAGAGTCCACTTGGCTTGAAAAACAATCTGCCTGGTGTTGACAGGGTGAACTTTGACCCAGCTGCGGTCAGCCTGACACTGGCCAGGCCCCGGCTTCAGACCAGACAGACAGCGCCTGCCACTCGGGAAAGACGGTCGAGACGTTCGTTCTCCAAATTAAGGACTACGAGTGATTAACCTGAAAGATCCGTAGAAGCTATCTATGTGTTATTTGAAATGAAGCGTGAGGAGGAGAAGCGGGGGGAGGGGGGCCGAGGGAGGGGGCCAGGCACGGGAGGCAGCAAGCAGCAAGCAGGCAGGGCGGAGGGGGTGGGACACAAGGGCTGCTGCTGCGTATCCAACCCTGCCCTTCACTGTCTGCGTGACATTACACGCAACACTGGGGAACTCCTGGTAGGGTCAGGAGGAGACGACAGACTGGCAGAGGTAGTAGAATGTCAGGAACAGTCAAGAATCCACGGAAATGACCATTGGGCGGGGGAGCACATCTACACACACAGGCTAAATAAATAAGAAAACACAAATCAACTTAAATACAATGGGGGAACTGACCTAAGTGAATAAACAAGCCAGTCCAATACTGAGGGTCGGTGGAAGAAAGGAGCCGCGCATCCAGGCTGCACGTGCCGGCCAGGCGGGGTGCCCCTCGCGGCCCTGTTAACTACGGGCAAGGCGCATCTCTGCGCTCCGCATGGCCCGTCCCGGCGAGCTGCTGTCCTCCGGCTGCGCTCCCGCGCACCAGGCTCCAAGCCAGCCGCCGGCCGCGGGGACCCCAGCACACCCCTCTCTCCAGACGGACTGAAAAGAGAGATTCGTGGGGAGCAAGGACACTTTCAGCTCTAAATGCCAAGTGCCGTTTGGACACAGTAAAAATGTAGACGACACCTTGGTGTCACTTTGGGTACAGAATTTCTTTTAATAAACTAAGACACAGAGAAGACAGACAGGGCCGCGTCCAGAGCCTCTGTACATTCCTAACGGTCACCATTTACGTTCAGCCAAGAAAACAAAAGCCAGACGATGCAGGAATGAGCACTTGGGGCAGCTAGCGAAATGGTCAAGCACAAATCAACACAAACACACTCACTTCACTGCTCAGTGGCCGAGGACTGTGTCTCTTTCTCGCTCAAAGTAACTTCACAGAGGGCCCCCACGGTGGCACGGGCCCCTGAGCACGCCAACACGGTGGGCCAGCCTCGTACATACCCGGTGTAAGAATAGCCAGAGGAAAGAAGTAAAAAAAATAATACATGTATAATAGGATATAAGCTAGCCAGTTACATTGCATTGTTTGCAAGTGTCACAAAGCCACCTGAACTGTCAAGTAATTTAAACTCAGTAACAAGTAGAATCCAGAACCAAACATCAACTAACAATAACAATAATAACAATAATAATAATAATATTATAATAATAATAATCCAACGTATCATTAGAACAGGAAAACCACACTTCAGGGTGTGTGTGTGTGTGTGTGTGTGTGTGTGTGTGTTTAAACAAGTCTTTGTATCAGAAGCCATTTTCTACAAAACTGCAGTAATCCATTACTGTATTAGGTAAACTGTCCCTCTCACCAGTATTAAAGGTTAGGATAATTTCTGTACATGTAAAATTATTGCTTTTTTTGAAAAATATATTTAGCATGCTCATCTTAATCCATTTCCTGCCTTTACAAAATTTCACAATTAAAAAAAAAAACCCTAGTAAAGCTTTTGCAAAAAATTTCACAGAACATTTTCTTTCAAGGCAGCAGTAACTTCTGATAATGCATAAAATCATATGTGCAAAAATCTGAAACTCTCAGAATATTCCCATCACACGTAGTATCACGGTCACAGGAAAAGAAAATATCTAGATCTGTGGAATACGATTCAATCTGCATACACTGCATGGTGTAGTAAGGTCTTACGGGCTTTCACCCCCCACTTTAAAAAACAGAACAAAACAAAACCAAACCCTTGCATCTGCATTACTATGGAAGAGGTATATAAAGCCGTCCCCACCTCGGCCTGCGCTGTCTGTGGACAGCACCAGGCTCAAGGAGGAAAAGACACGTATTTGCTGGGGTGGTGCAGGGGAGGCGGGGAGGGAACAGAGGGTACCAGAGCCCCGAGGCCCCGCGTGATCTGGGCACCCCAGCCCTGCTCGGGGCTCCTCTGCATTTCTACATCAGGCCCAAATCGAGAGGATTCAGTGGCTAATTGGTAGAGACCTGCAGTCTTTCTTTGTGAGCAGTTTACAGAATGTAGCCCTGTTACACAAAGGTCCTGAGAATAAAGAAAGAAGCCTGCTCTTCTAGTGTCCAACAGCTCCTTCCCGAAGCAGATCCCACGCGTGCCCACGCCCACGCCTCCCGTGCGGCCGTCAGCAGGGATGGCGGCGTGGGCAGAGCGGGCGCACAGGAGGGCCCGCGGCCGAGGCTCGTGCAGTCCCACCTCCGAACCAGTCCAGCTCGCCGGGACCCCGCCAGCCTGGTCTCCACAGCACCCCAACACCGCCGCCTTCCTTTCCTGTTTGCTATTCTCCACACGCACTATGACACGGAGAGCACGGCAGTAGTACTAACGCTCCAGCCACCTCGGTCCCACGTCCTGCCGACATCGCCTCGGTCCTCAGAGCCCCGGCTCCGCCGACGGCGTCGGCTTCTCCCCTCCGTGCAAGGCCCACGAGTCGCTCTATTCCAGTGTCTCCAACTCGTCGTGACGAATACGGACGCCTCGAGCTCCCGCCCGGCGGCCAGCACCACTCGTGTTGGGGGGAGGGGCACAGCCACAGTGGGTGAGCATGCACACGCGTGGGGGGAGTCAAGGGGTTCCGGGCATTGCTTCGTTGCTGTGGCTCACAGCTGGCGAGGAGGGGCTGGCGGCTCTGGGCAGGGGGGTCCGGGCTGGAGACGCGGCTCTTCCTCCTGGAGGCATGGTGCTCAGGGCAGCAAGGCCGTGGGGATCCCCCGCGGGCGCCGGCGTGCGGGTGGCACACCTCTAGGTGTGAGCTCTGTCAGCACAGTCCCTGGGCTGGCACGGCCTGTCCCCTGCGAGAGAGAGGAGACAGAGAAGCTCAGTACTGCCATGCGCTTCCCGTGCACGGTGTGCATGGTGTGCACGGTGTGCATGGTGTGCTTGGCGCCCAGGGGCCCCGCCCCCAGCGGCGTGGGGTGAGTTCCATCCCCCACAGCCGCCCTGCCCCGGGAGCCCCGCCCCCAGCGGCATGGGGTGAGTTCCATCCCCCACAGCTGCCCCCAAAGGGTCGGCGGGCCTCGATAGCTCTTCAAGCTGTGTCGGCAGGACAGGGAAGGGCAGGATGGACACAGCATCGCGCTCCAACACAGGGCAGACGCACAGGGGGGACCGGCAGTTCTACACGAGGCTGAACCGGGGCCCCACAAACATCCAAGCGCAGCGCTGGCCTCACACAGGTCTGCCAAAACTCCGGAGGGCCATCAATAACTGCCACGGCGGGAAACAATCAAAGAATAAAACGATAAAACTGGGCATGCGTAGGAGCCAGCACTGAGCTCTCCGATGACAGGCAACTCACTGTTTGAACAATGGCGTTTACCATCTGAGTCCAAAACCAACATGGTAAGATTAATCTTAGTTAACAGCGTTAACCTTGAGCTTCAGTCCTGATCCGCAAGCTTCAGCTCTCAGAATATCCTGGCCTCCGGCTCTGCCTTTGGGAACCGTGGGAATGGGGAGGGCATATGTACCAAGCACTTCAGTTGCTCATTTCAGACCACAGTTTAGGGCTGGCCCTGTACCCACGCCACCTTCCCACATGCATCCTGCAGAGGCAGGAAGAGAGGAGGCCAACGCTGAGGCTGGTGGAGGCCGGGTGGGTCAGCAGTGCACTTGAGACACGGCTGGCACCACGTGAGACAATGTGGGAAAATGCGCTCTGCAGGCCTGCGCCTCCTGCCGTGGGCTCTGCACGGGGACATGCGTGAGCCCTGCAGGCCTGCGCCTCCTGCCGTGGGCTCTGCACGGGGACACGCGTGAGCCCTGCAGGCCTGCGCCTCCTGCCGTGGGCTCTGCACGGGGACACGCGTGAGCCCTGCAGGCCTGCGCCTCCTGCCGTGGGCTCTGCACGGGGACACGCGTGAGCCCTGCACAGGGACACATGTGAGGACAGGGACACGTGAGGACAGGGACACACGTGAGCCCTGCACAGGGACACAGGTGGGGACAGTCTCCAGGTGCTGCAGAGGCAGCAGCACGAGCACGGCTCCTGGGACTCGGTCTCCACAGCTTCCAGGGAAAATGTCTCCACAATCACTGAGAGAAGAAACAGGCTTTGGATTTCCTTTGCGTGTGTCAGGGAAGCACACGTGCCCAGTAACTGTCACCTCAGAGACAGGCACAAACATGGTACCATACGTAAACACAGGGCTGTGGATATGAACACGTGCGCTGCATCCCCACCTAGAGTGGTGTGTGTGTGAGCACATGTGCCATACATAAACATGGTGTCATGTGTGGACATGGTGCTGCGTGTGCGAACATGTCACACATGGCCACAGGTGTCCTGTACGTGACAGGGGTGTCACCTGTGTGAATATGGTGCTGGGGGCATTGTGTCGTGTGCATGAACACAGGTGTTGTGTGCATCTAGATTCTGTGTGGACAGCAGCTCACACACACACACACACACACACACACAGAGGATGCATCCACTGGCAGCCTCATCTTTTGACCAGAACACAGAGGCTTGCACAGGGCGGACTGGCCCAAGCATGCGGCCGTGGCAGAGGCACAGAAGAGGGCTTCTTTCTTAAAACGGATGGTATTTTTTAAACTCCAGGACTCAGAAAGTTTTACAAACATTTATTTCCGGAGTGAAGAGTCAAGACAATCTAATTTTGGTTCATGAGATTACTCAGTTACGTCCATAAATCCAGATAGACAGATCCTTGCTTTTACAATTCAGTCATCACTAAGATCCTTATTGTATTATCCAATAGACACTGTAGCCCTACAGAGTTTTAAGAAATGAATGAAACAAGGAAGGAAAGAGCCCCAGAAAAACTCAAACCACAGGGACTGCTTACTTGTACTATTCTGAGTTGTGTTTTATTCCTACAAGGAAAACAGAGGTCAGAAATGAGCAGTATAAGCTTTTAGAAAATCTGCAATTTCCTCTCCAGAGCTGGACACATGAGCACCTCAGTGATACTCAAAGTGAAGTAGCGGGCACCGGTGGCTCACACCTGCCACCCCAGCTACTCAGGGGGCTGAGATCTGAGGATTACAGTTCTAAGCCAGCCCAGGGAGGAAAATCTGTGATTCTTATCTCCAATCAACCACCAGATAACTAGAAGTGGAGCTGTGGCTCAAAGTGGTAGAATGCTAAGCTTTGAGCAAAAAAGCCCAGGGACAGCGCCCAGGCCCTGATCTCTAGCCCTATGGCTTGACATGGATGGATAACTGACTGGAGCAGCTTTAGTTCTATTTGTGCCCTTCCTCAAAGGCAGGGAGAAGCTTACACAGTCTCAGCTGTATGGCAATGGCATGCACACCAAACAGAGACAATGCCTCAGGTAGGAGGAATCCCTGGTCATCAAGAAACTCCATCTCAGGAAGAACACTCTGTCGGGCCTGTGGGGACCAGAGCCCCAGAGCCTCGCAGCCTGCAGGGCAGTGGCTCAGAGGACCATGGTGCTGGTTTGGGGCAAGCACCAGTTACATTTACCACACATCTAGCACATTATACTTAAGAGAAAATGGACACAGCCTAAGACACTTGTTTGGTTTTATGAATAAAAAAGCTTCAACAACTGAGAGCATCTGATCTGTAAAGCTTGGAGCCTACAAGATTAGATTATACCTATATTTAATGTACCTACATATAAAATAGATTATATCTGTCATTAATGTACCTACATATAAAATAGATTTTACCTGTAGTGAATGTCCCTATAAGATAAATTATTCCTATATTTAAGTGTGCCTACATATAAAAGATTATACCTATATTTAATGTACCCATATAAAAATAGATTATACGGATATTTAATGTACCTACGTATAAAATAGATTATACCAATACTTAAATGTACCTACATATAAAAGATTATACCTATATTTAATGTACCTACATGGAAAGATTATACCTATATTTAATGTACCTACATATAAAACAGATTAAACCTATACATATAAAATTGATGATATCATATTTCATGTATATATATAGATTACACCTATATTTAAACATACCTACACAGTTCTCAATCTTATAACAGCATCCATTGCTAAAATTGAGACAAAGTAGGTTGCCATTTTGTTTTTTCATTTCCTGTTATTTTGATTAATGGAATTATTTCTCCAGCTTAACTACTTTAAAATAACATTGAGAATAATAGGGAATAACTATTAATCATAGTCTTTAAATTGGGGCAAAGAATCCAAACAAATCAGAATAGCAGCATTTTTATTCCAGGAGTCAGTCTGGAGTCTTGAAGCCCTAAGCCTGGAAGTGCGGGGGGGGAGGAAGGAATTCTGGGGGTTTCAGAACTTACTTTAGTAGTAAAATAATGCGCACATTTTCTCTCTGCAGCACTGCACACCACTCCCAGCATCTGCCTCTACACCACAGGCCAGAAATCCCCTGTGCTGCACATACTGCTTTCAAAACATGATAAAAACTAACGATTTCGGGAACCAAAACATGTCTTCACTCCTGTACCCATGTGAGCACGCAGGTTCTCACGGCATGCGTCTGAGGACCTGGGGCAGAGTCCTGTGGTCAGGGCTGCCTTCAACCCAGCCCCAGCGTGCGGGGGTGAGAGGGAGTGGGGGAGAGCCCCGCAGCCCGGGACTATGCGCTAGCCCCGTGTGGAGCCTGCACCACCACGGCCTCTGCACACTCAGAGGGCTTCCAGCTCTTTCCTTCCAGACTGTGTAAACACATGAGATGTGCAGACACACCGCGACCACGCTCTCCCTCCAACAGCACGGTCCCCAACACCACCTGCAGAGAGATGGCCAGCCTGATGCATCAGGAGATAGGTCCGGAACACAGGACAGCTCGGTGGCCTGGGTTTCTGAAATCCTTGGGATCGTGTGGAGGTTTGCACAGGCACATGCAGAAAAGACCTAGCAACGCCATTTCCTCCATCCTCAGAGGTCCTGGGGTACGGACAGGCACCCCGATTCCGAGCTGGGTGAGTTAAATCACTGCACTACAGCTCCCTCTACAGCACGCCCCATGACCCGACGGAGGGGATCTGGAGCGTGGAGAGCCCTCAAGACGCCTCAGACACGCCTTCGGAGGAAAATGCAACCCTGAATGTGGCTGAGCCAGGGCCTGGGCACTGTCAACCGAGAACGGCATCTCGGACAAACTGTGGGTAAAGCACAGGTCAGTCATCTCTCTCTCACCCTCCCAAACTAAACAACAGGACCCACCGTGCCTGCCGGGACGTCTTGTGATGAGCAGAAGCCTGCGTGTCAGCGCAGCCGGTGTCCACGTGGCCGGCGCCCGACTCCTCTCACAGCGGGCCTCACCACCATCCCAAGAAGACCACCCTCGCTCACCTGTGGGAGTGGGGGGTGAACGCCTCCGCCCCAGAACCCCGTCTCTTCACTCATGCCCCTCGCATTCCTCAGAGCACGGCCTGCACACGGGGAGCAGCATGACCTGGGAGGACTCACCCAGGACCTCGCGCATCCACACCAGACCACATCCACCCAGACCACATCCAACCAGACCACATCCACCCCAGACCCACATCCACCCCAGACCCACATCCACCCCAGACCACATCCACCCCTGACCCACATCCACCCCAGACCACATCCACCCCAGACTACATCCACCCAGACCCACCTCCGCCACCAGTCCTGGGAGGACTCACCCAGAACCTCGCATATCCACCCCAGACCACATGCACCCCAGACCCACATTCACCCAGACCACATCCACCCCAGACCCACATCCACCCCAGACCCACATCCACCCAGACCCACATCCACCCCAGACCCACATCCACCCCAGACCCACATCCACCCAGACCCACATCTACCCAGACCA